TACGTACGGACTGCGCCTTGCGAGGCCTCCGTGTGGCTTCCGTGAAAATTCAGTCGGTACACGCGCCTGACACAAGCGGACAAAAGCCGAGCCAATAGAGTAGCGGTATAACATCGTGCGGTCGTTGCTGGCCGAGCTGAAATTACGCTCCCGTTTTACGCTGTGTGTCCGCTACGGTATCCGCATGGCGAATAATTAACGCGACGCTGAAGAGAAAGAGAGAGAGAGAGAGGGGGGGGGAGAAGGGGGCAAACGCGGCAGAACGGGAGGCCGATACATTCGAGGATTGTTTGAAATATTCAGACTTGGCTTGCAGCGTGCCGCGGTACCACCGCCGCGGCCGAAATTATTTCTTGCCGTGATCCCAAGACACGCTATATTCGCAATGGAAAACAGGGCACTGGGTCGAACGGTCTCGAACGTTTCGGAAATCCAAGGGAAGCCGAAAACGAGAATTCCGTCTGAATCGATCGCGAAGAGAGGAGATCGAGAACTCGAATCCGCTCGATTCGAAATCCGATTAAATAATTCCGGTTTTCTCTCTCTCTCTCTCTCTCTCACTCTCTCTCTCTCTCTCTCTCTCGGAACGGTCTCTAAGAGCGAGGTTTATGTGAAGAGAGAGAGAGAGAGAGAGAGAGAGAGAGAGAGAGGAATGAAAGAAATATTTTTCTCTTCCTTCGGCCGCAAAGTATCATTTGCTCTTTCGCCAACACAACGCTGTGACGGGCGTTCTGTTTGCTCTCTCTCTCTCTCTCTCTCTCTCTCTCTCTCTCTCTCTCTNCTCTCTCTCTCTCTCTCTCTCTCTCTCTCTCTCTCTCTCTCTCTCTCTCTCTCTCTCTCTCACTCTTTCTCTCTATTCACAGGAAACATTAGCAACAAAAAACAAGGGGGCGAACAAAGAACACGAGCTATAAGCACCGCAGGACAAGGCGGGGGGAAGGGGGTGAAAACTGTAGGATAAAGTTTACTTTCTTCTTGTTTCTCTTGCGAGTCTCGGGAGTAGCTTTCCTCCCACGCACTCTCTCTTCGCCGCTGACTTGAAGAAGCGAGCGACGCCGGCGGCTCAAATTATCTCACTTTTTGTGGGAGTAGCCCTGATCCGCATAATACTACGCGAAGACGGACGTTATTACGAGATCGAGCGAACGTCGAGCCCCCTAATTAATCCTGACGGTAACACAATTAAGCCCACGAAGCCTACGTGTGTTTTCTTTCGCTTACCCCCCTCCCCCACGTTTTGTGCAAGACACTGTGGCCGACATTCACAATCGAAACTTATATTTAAGACCGCCTTAAATACAGATCTTCGGATCTTTCTTCGCAGCCTATGAAATGAGCCGTACAGTATCTGAAAATAAACTCAAGACGGTCTTAAATATGAGATCCGACTATGAATCCCGGCTTTACATCTCATTCCTGTTCCTCCGTTACTCGAAAAACAAAAGTTTGGTCTGTGTGACCATTGCTGTGTGGAAAAAAAGAAATATCTCCCATAGATGAAAATTAACTGTCCATGTAATACAGCTGAAATTTCGTTAATTTAATTAATTCTTTTTGTCTGTATTTCGATGTTCATAGTCTGATCTTATATTTAAGACTGTCTTAAGTTCATCCTCGAATGCTTCGTAGCCAAAAGAAGATGCGTCATCTGCGTCATGACTTTTTTGCTCAGTTCCGCCCGTTCTGCTTGCACATCACGGAAATCGAGATTAGTTTGGGACCCTCCGTATGGGCCTGAGAGACCTACGATGTTGCTTCAGCATCGAGTACGCGATTTTCTCGTCACGTGCGTCCCGACTCCCATCGAAATTAGCCGTTGCGGGATCGCGATTTATCTCCGAGTGGCCGCCGGCCGTTTGTATCCATGGGACGTTATTACGGTTTGCAAGCAGCCGAACGCAACCGGCCGATGTACGAGCCTTCCGTATCGCCGTCAGCCGGCCACGCAAGCCCATTTACCGACTTTATCCCCTTATTTCATCTTTTACGGCCAATTATTTCAGCCTCCGCTGTCACGCGAATACACGCATTAATGCGATCTCGATTTCATTATCTCCGCAGGTATCTGTCCGCTTTCGCCGTCATATATACTCGCTCGTATTTCGCTGCTTTACACGCGCCAGTTTCCGGGCCGAGCCTTGTGTTAACGTGCGTCATATATCGCCACGTGTGCGTGCGTGCGTGTGTGTGTGTGTGTGTCGGACAAAAAGCTCAGCCGATGTTATTCGTCGGCATTTGCCTTTGTCCCGCAATGATGTTTTATGTAAACGTTAAAGCGCTCGCCCTCCCTCTCTTTTTCCCGTCTATCCATCTGTCTCTCCCTCCATCCGTCCCTTTGATATCGATGTATATTTGTATCTTTCTAACCGCGTGAAAAATTCGACAAAATCGCCAAACGAAAATGGAGAGCTGGAGGCCTGGTTGGGCGCGAGGAGCCGCGTGAAATTTTATATTTAACCAACGATAAATCACGCGGCCGATCCCCATCGTGGCCGATATCCGGATCTCAAACACGATATATATACGGGATGTCCGCGCACACTCTCCTCCTACTCCTGCTGCCGCTGGTCGTCGGATATCCTGCGACTTTCGACGCGCGACACGCGAGTGTAAAGCCGGAATATATAGATTTGCTTTTTTCACTTGATCACCGCACAACGGACGGCGCTGCACCGGCGCGCGCGTAACGCTCGAGAACAAGTTTATTGCTGTGCATTCCTGCACACGGTATATCGGAAAATGTTGCAAAAGCGGCCGGCAACGTACTGTGCAAGCGGTGAATAATAAAAATAGTTGATAGTCATAAGCTATGATGTTATGCCAGCGCGCGCGCATATTCAGTGCCGCGCGCGCGATAGTTTCCGTCGGATGGCGGAAAACTAAGTTGCCCGGAGTAGCAATGCGTTTATGGGCCTTCATTTATTATCGCCGCGCGTATAACAGTTTACTCGCCCTCGCAAAGTGTCATACCTCCTTTCCATTTACGCTCTTCCGTGATCCACTTTTTACGCGTCTTTAAATTCCTTCGGCCTTCCGCCCCGGTTCTACGTACCCGCGCATTATTTATCGTCGAAGCCTCCGTCGAGCGCCTCTGTCGAGTGAACGCCTCGTGGATGGCCGAATTTCGCGCGGGATTTCAACGGGTCGTATTTACCTCTACTGAAAAAAAAAGAAAAAAAAAGAATTGTTGTGTTCAAGTAAATATTTACTAAGGAATATTGTAGCAATTTATTTGGTTTGGATTAAACTGGAAGAAAAAAAAGTGCTACATTCCAGTAACATTTACTTAATCCAAATAAAATAAATGATCACGATACTCCTTAGTAAATAATTACTTGAACATAGTAGAATTTTTCTTTCAGTGCTGCTTATTTATCTATCGACCTTGCTGCGCGAGCAAAGAACGGAGACATCAGCACATCGACGCAGTTATAATTCACACAGTTGGAAATTACATTGGGAGGCTCGCGTGGAAAATTTACAACCGAGATCGTATTGATCGGATTGATCGGATCGCTCGCGCAGTTTGTGTATACCGTGTATAATCTAAACTCGATTTTCCCTCTTTTCCTCGCGTTTACTTTCCTTTCTTCACAAAGACCACGGGCTCTTTGCCGGGACAACATCGGGGACAAATAGCGTGCGACGGACGACACCACGGCAAAGTAACTCCGACGTCACTCTTCGGGCGGTTCTAGTCGCTAATAGTTCCCGGTTTCGAGAACTCGAAGTTCCCGAACGTTTCCCGCTCCGGTCTCCTATCCGCTGCGACACAGGAGCGTAATTTCACTTTGAAACGTTCGCAAACAAGTTTACCGGCTCTCTCAAGGCTCGCTAATGTCTATATATTCGTACGTAAGATACGCTTTAATCGCGTCGTATTAATCGCGCGCGCCCGGCTAATTTCTCGTCTCTTTTGCGCGACCGCCCTGCTCTTCTTTTTACCTCGCGCAGAATCCGGCGCTTCGAAAGTATCGTAAGCGTTGTGCATTTCGTGACGCTGGAGTCGCGCTCACTATCTAATTAGCTCGTTCCTAATTCCCTCTCGGACGTAAAAATTGTATGATACCGCTTATACGAAACTGGCATCGATATTTCTCTTTCGGTATATTCAGTATTTTTCTATCGATATTTTCTTTCGATGTTCGCACCTATACCAATATTTCTTTGTTTGGATTGTTTTTTTCAATTTTTTACTCAGTCTACCTTCGAGATATCATGTATTTTTGCTTCGTGAAAATTAGTGTAACATGCAACTTACAAGCTTCAAGCTTATTTTTTCTCATGATTTCTGTTATGTTAATTTTACGGTTGTTTATTGATTGCCAAAGTAAAGCCTTCGGGCATCTTCATAAATGTGCGGAGTCGATTACGAATGTCATTTTGTGCGTAAATTATTTTATTTCCACGTGTACCGTGATCATTTTTGGCATGCGATTTCTCGCTTCTGACGTCATCCAACAAAGGCAGTCACAGCGAGGACGCGGAAACCTTTTTAAGATTCTTAAATCATAAACCATAAAAGTCTAGTGTAGAAGATAGAAGTATCTTTATATAATAGTAAAGTTATTACGTGTGGACGTGCGAAACTTTTACAGCTTGTTACAAGACAAATAGACCTTGGGTTTTCATATTTCTTCTAATTTTAAGTTTTTTTATGTTTCGATGTCAGTATCGATATTTTTGTTCACGGTACGCATCGATACGAAATTTCGATACTTTTTACCGTATCGCCCGTCCCTACGTTCAACTGATATTTTAATTATTGAAACAATAATAGTTTTAATGATACTCGCCATTGAATCAAGAAGATTTACTTCGATCACGCTGCTTTTGGAAACTTTATTAACTCGACAGAATTTTTTCCCGTGTAATGATATCGATACTCTCAATTATAGATACCCGTTTCAACATTAATATCGATATTTTCATCGTCATTCAACATTCCTGTCCGAGCGAGACGAGCACGTCTGAATCGTCGAATCTACTTTTGCTTTCAGTATGCGGCGACATCCACGGACAATTCTACGACCTGATGAAATTATTCGACGTGGGCGGGTCACCCTCCACGACCAAGTATCTCTTCCTCGGCGATTACGTTGATAGAGGTTATTTCAGTATCGAGGTGAGTACCTGAGAGAGGAAAGAGCGCGCGGTGTAACTCGCGTTCAATCGTCGAGGCGGACGTTGGTAATGAACGTCGCGGTGTAATCAGACTTTAAAATTTCGATCGCGCTGCGAATTCCCAATGAAACGCCGCGCGCAGGAGGGGGGGGGGGAGGTAATAATAACGCGCCACGGTGAAAACCCGCTTTTATTCCGACTCTCCGACAAAAAGAGAGCAGCGTGAAGAAAATTTCGCTCGCCTCGGGGAATTATGCGGGAACGCTCGATTATCGAACTACTGCAATTAACGTACGTCCCGATTAACTAGTAATTAAATCGTTGGCTGGGCCCCGCTTCTACCCGGCTCGAGTAACGGGGGTGCAAATGCGTTAATTCTGCGGGAGGTTTGCTTTGACATTCGCGCGCTATTGACGCAAATGTCGCGACACACCCGCGGACGGGGCGATTAAAATTGCATTTTAACATAGTTCGCGAGCTACCCTTCCCAATTCCCCCCCCCCCCCCC